AGTAATTTCGGATAAGGTACACCGTCTGTTCGGCAAAATTTTTGCGAACCCATTAGATCTATGAATCAATTTGAATATTTCGAAGCTTCATAGCTTGAATAGCTTGCTTAGAAATACTTCAATTTTTTGCAAACTGATTTGCTCCAGGAAAAAACATGGAAATATTTTAAAATGTACTAGCTTGAATAGCTTCCAAAAGAATTTTTTTTCCGCAAAAATACTTGCTCCATATACTCGGCCGATGAAGTTACTTAAATTATTTCTAAGTTTGATAGCTGGAATGGCTCGCTTTAAAAAAAACTTTAATTTTGCAAACCGATTCGATCTACGAGATAACTTGAAATATTTAGCTTTTTGCGACACGATTCGGTCTTAAAAACAACTTGGATTATTTCAAGGTTTCATAGCTTGAAGTTTTTGCGAACCGATTTGGTCTGTAAATTAAATTGAAATATTTCAAAGATTCATAGCTTGAGGGGTTTGTTTATGAAAACATGAGCTTTTTGCAAAACGAATCGGTCTATTTTTCTGTCTAAGAAACAACTTGAAGTGTTTTGAATTTTCATAGTCTCAATAGCGTGCTTAAAACAACTTGCGCACTGATTTACTCTATAAAACAACTCGATCTTTTGCTTAAAAAAGTTTAATTTGGCTCCAATAAGAAAACTTAAACTATTTAAAACTATTCGCAATCGTTTTTTTTCATAAAATACCTTTCAATATATCCAAGTTTCTTAGCCTGAATAGCTTGCTCAGAAAAATGTTCGCGAACCGAATTAGTCTGAAACTACCTGAAGTATTTCATAGCTTGAATAGCTTCCTAAACAATTAATTTTTTGCGGACTGGTTTGCTCTACGAAAAACTTGAAATGATTTTATGTTTTATTGCTTGATTAGCTTCAATATGAAAATGTAAACGTTTGCCATCTGATTCGATTCATTTCAAAGTTTCTCAATTTTGAATTGCTCTTAGAAAAAGTACAAATTTTTTTTTGCAATCCGATTCTCTTTATGGTATAATGGTTCAAAATTTCATAGCTGGCATAGAAGTTCTTGAACTTATCGCAAACTGATTCGGTCTTGAAAGAACTTGAAATATTCGAAGTTTCAACGCTTACATAGCTTCAATAGAAATAAGTAAATTTTTCGTCATCTGATTCGCTACATGAAATAACTATGGCAACTTCGCCTCTGTGTTAATTCTAAGTATTGCGTAATTTTTCGTCGATATTGATTTTTATTCAGCCACTTTTCTAAATTGTTGAATTGTTTAAGATTCTACGATATTAAGATACTTCGGGCTCTAGTAAATTGATTTGTTTCATTAGCATTTATAAGCCATCCAGTTTCTAGTCAGACGTTTTGCATCGGTGTTTTACCGCATGTGAAAAGATTTTGCGTGCACGTTTACGACGTTAAAATTGTCTGAAATCTTCGGCCGAATTTGATGACTCATATCTTCTTATGTATTAAATGAAAGTCGGAATGCACTATGAACGCAATGTTTAACTGAACGCAATGTTTTAGCTTCGTCGAATGCAACGTTTAAAAAATTCTTAAGGCTTCACGTTTAAGAGAAGGCCAAGATTATTCTAGAACTTTAGAACTTTCTTATGTCTGGAATATTTTCGAATTATTTTTGACAAAAATTGAATTCTTTAGACAAGATGAAGTCAGTTCATTTTCATGGCTAGCCAGTATCTGTCCATTTTCCGAAGTCTTTACTTTTCAAATTGATTTCCTTCTGAAATAATCCAACTAAAAACAGCAGCCTTCTTGAAGAAAAACTAGCTTTTTGCAAACCGATCTGCGCTATGAAGATTCTTGAGATCAATCAAAGTTTCATCGCCTCAATAGCTTGCTTAGAAAACATGAAAATTCTTGTCAGTCGATTTGCTTTATGAAACACTTTGACTTGTTTCGAAGTTTCATTGCATTAATAGCGTGTTCAGAAAAACTTTGAAATATTTCGAGCTATTTCATAGACCGAATCGGTTTGCAAAAAATCTTTGATTTCATGAAGCAAAACTTTTTGTTAACTTTTTCTAAGCTAGTTTTTTGCAAAGCCATTTTCCTTTGACATAATTTGAATTATTCCAAAGTTTCAGAGCTTTAGCTTGCTTAGAACAACTAAAGCTTTTCGCAAAACCATTTGGTCTCTGAAATCTTATATATTAAATGAAAATCGGAATGCGCTATGGACGCAATGTTTAACTGAACACAATGCTTGAGAATTATTAGGAGACAATATGTTCAACGGCTATCGAGCGTAACGTTTTAGAAGCATTCAGAGCAACCATCAGAAGAAGATGAACTTGATCCAACTTCAAGGCTAGACAGTACTTGGCTGATTTTTGTCCAAAATTTTGTTTCATCTTTGTCTGGAACTGGGACTGTCAAAAGTTCAGTCTGGAACGAATCACTTGAAAACAGTTACCACCAGGCTAAGAAAAGAAGTTTTGCGAACCGATTCGGTCTATGGAATAAATGGAAATAATTCAAAGTTTAATAGCTTTAAAAGCTTTCCTAGAAAAACTGAAACTTTTGGCGAACCGATTCGGTCCAAGAAATAACTTGAAAAATTTCAAAGTTTCATAGGTTCAAGAGCTTGCTGAGAAAACTTAGAATTTTTCGTGAATAGATCTAGTTGGTCTAAAATCATACCGGCACACTCTTTTTGTTGAAATCAGGAACAACGATGTTTCAATTGAAATCTTTGAAAGCTTGATCAAAATTTCATTATTGCCACGAATGCATGTTAAGTCAAACTAGCTTACCCAACACTGCAAAGCTGCTTCGATAAACAAAGCTCTTGTTGATATATTACATGATGGAATATAACATCCGAGTCGAGGTGCTCGACTTATGTTTCGACTTCGAAAGTCAAGCAAGTGCGGTTTTGCGACTGAAATTTCGCGGTCCAGAAGCAATTTAAAGTCGAGCACAAAGTCAAAACATACCCAATTTTGGTCGAGAAAGTCAAAACATAGGTTAAAAAAATCGAAATGTAGGTCAAGCAAGTCAAAAATACCCTATATTATGTAAGGTGAAAAAAGGGCGGTAGACAAATAAAGTTGCAAAATGGATGTTCGTTTTAGTGAATATAAATACTCTTCTAATTGACCTAATCCTATTCTAAATGGCCGACTCCATACAACTACGCTTTTCATATTTCAAACCTTGTGAAACGATTTCATTTTTAATATCTCCTTTTTACCAAATTAGTTAATGTAATTATTTATTTATTAGTTAGTTAGAAAGACTTGGAAACCTTAAAAAATGTCCATTTTTAAGGACGGAAAGGATTCGAATAGTAAAAATTGAAGAAGGCATCTGCTACCAGTGTGATTACATTATCATCACCCCTCTATAGAGTAAACAATTTCAAAAAATTAAGAATATTTTTAAACCCAAGTTTATCGAAATATATTTTTAAAATGTCATGCCCCATGAAACAATATTTGCCGGATCATTCGCATGGAGACCATATCTTCAAAAATAGGAACCACACCGAAATACTGAATTTAAGTCCGGGGTGGCTTTCTCATAGAGTAATTTCGGATAAGGTACACCGTCTGTTCGGCAAAATTTTTGCGAACCCATTAGATCTATGAATCAATTTGAATATTTCGAAGCATCATAGCTTGAATAGCTTGCTTAGAAATACTTCAATTTTTTGCAAACTGATTTGCTCCAGGAAAAAACATGGAAATATTTAAAAATGTACTAGCTTGAATAGCTTCCAAAAGAATTTTTTTTCCGCAAAAATACTTGCTCCATATACTCGGCCGATGACGTTACTTAAATTATTTCTAAGTTTCATAGCTGGAATGGCTCGCTTTAAAAAAACTTTAATTTTGCAAACCGATTCGATCTACGAGATAACTTGAAATATTTAGCTTTTTGCGACACGATTCGGTCTTAAAAACAACTTGGATTATTTCAAGGTTTCATAGCTTGAAGTTTTTGCGAACCGATTTGGTCTGTTAATTAAATTGAAATATTTCAAAGATTCATAGCTTGAGGGGTTTGTTTATGAAAAACATGAACTTTTTGCAAAACGAATCGGTCTATTTTTCTGTCTAAGAAACAACTTGAAGTGTTTTGAATATTCATAGTCTCAATAGCGTGCTTAAAACAACTTGCGCACTGATTTACTCTATGAAACAACTCGATTTTTTTGCTTAAAAAAGTTTAATTTGGCTCCAATAAGAAAACTTAAACTATTTAAAACTATTCGCAATCGTTTTCTTTCATAAAATACCTTTCAATATATCCAAGTTTCTTAGCCTGAATAGCTTGCTCAGAAAAATGTTCGCGAACCGAATTAGTCTGAAACTACCTGAAGTATTTCATAGCTTGAATAGCTTCCTAAACAATTAATTGTTTGCGGACTGATTTGCTCTACGAAAAACTCGAAATGATTTTATATTTTATTGCTTGATTAGCTTCAATATGAAAATGTAAACGTTTGCCATCTGATTCGATTCATTTCAAAGTTTCTCAATTTTGAATTGCTCTCTTAGAAAAAGTGCAATTTTTTTGCTATCCGATTCTCTCTATGGTATAATGGTTATATAATGGTTCAAAATTTCATAGCTGGCTTAGAAGTTCTTGAACTTATCGCAAACTGATTCGGTCTTGAAAGAACTTGAAATATTCGAAGTTTCAACGCTTACATAGCTTCAATAGAAGTAAGTAAATTTCTCGTCATCTGATTCGCTACATGAAATAACTAAGAGAATATGTCAGAGTTTGATATCTGGACTAGGTTGCTTAGCAAGTTTATAACTTTGCGCCCTCCGATGGCTTGCAAGTTCTGACGGAATTGTCTGAGATTTAAAATGGCAGAATTGTCGGTGACCGAATTGTGTGAACGCGGTTGAAGTATCATCAAGAGCGATCCAGCTTTTGTCTTGAAATTTCCACTTATTTTTATGTATGGCCACTCTTCCGTCTGTCAGTCGATTGTGCGTTTAAGTTTGTCTTGTGTGATTTAGGCATCGTGCAGTCGTGCGAGGACTGTCAGGAGGTGACCTCGTCCAAGACGCAGAAGAGTTTCGTGAAGAGGGAGTTGAATTTACTGGACAGGAGTGAGAAAGCAGTCCGCATCACCCTGTGGGGTGGAGAGGCGGAGAAGTTTGTGCTGGATGAGAACAACCCCAATCCAGTTATGGCCATCAAGGTAGGCTACACCCGTGCATTATTAGAACATAACCACGTCCAAAAATGTTCATATAGTTCTCAACCAGTGAAGCAAGAGTGTTTCTCCTTAGAGAGCTGATCAGTTCGTATATTGGTTTTTCATTCTAATGCTCCGTAGATCCTTGTGCTCCGACGCAGAGCATATGTGGTCAGTTTTCTATTTTTTTATCATTATTTTCCTTCTCTCCAGGGTGCAGTGGTGAAGGACTTTGGAGGCCGTTCTCTGTCGATGGGTGTGTCTAGCAGCTTCATCGTCAATCCAGACATCCCGGAGGCCCACCAACTCAGCGGCTGGTTCTCAGAGGCTGCATCTACACTCAAGGTTGGTGAAATGAAAGATATTAAATCACAAACTAGGTTTTTCAAGAAATTACAGTGATACTTTATATCGCTTGTTATTTAAAGCGAAAACTCTATTTAAGTGACATTGTGGCATTTAAAGAAATGAGTTTAGATAAATGACCAACAATATCTCGTGAAAACAAACTTAATGGTATTGCAACCGGGTACAGGGCGTTAATTTTTTGATGACAGAATTGGCACATGGGAGGTTACGTGCTCCCATTGGCTTCATATTTACACCAGCCAGCGAGCGTAGTATTATATTAGGAATCATTTTAAAACCCAACTCGCAAATAAAAGTGCTCATTTTAAGTTATATTTCCCCTGCTTCATTGGTGGCTAATGTTTGCATAATTCCAAGCAACCCTGATGCAGATGCTCATTATACTCCTTGAAGTCGGAGGCTCGACTCCGGCACATGAGCAGCTTTACTTTTATTTGGTGGCACTTATTGCAAAGCATTGGAATATTAATTGAAACTAGCTGCTTTGTTTGCCTGGTTAGTAAATTTTCAAGTGAGCGTGGTGCAGATACCAGGCCGTTAGGCTCCTAGTCTCCATGTTGGAGGTTCGATCCCGGCAGATGGCAAAAGGGCTTTTTTCCAGTTCCCCCTTTCGAAATACCGAGTTTTATGTTTGTTTTACGTGTTATTACGGCTAAACGCGTGATGTTACGCCAAATTTCATTACATTATGACAACGTTAAATAGACTTTTCAAATTGAATTTGAAAGGGGGGGGGGACTGGAAAAGAGCCGGCAAAAGTTTTATTTCTTAAGGCTTTTATTTTTTCTTCCTTCGTTTTATTTTTTTTTGCCTTTTTGAGCTAATTTTAGCCGTTTTCTCCATTGTGTTTGCGAAATGCTTTGCCTTTGTGTAAGTTCAAATACGATGACTGGTTCTGTCTATTTGATTTAGAGGTAACGCCCGTGCTGGGGACAACAATTGTCTGGGTTCGAGGACCTGAACTTTTTTAAACTGATTTTCTGCTCTCTAAAAATTCAAGTCTTGGACTATCTTGCGTCTGATTAGTAACTACTTCAATTAAATCATTGAATCTTTTGGTCTTCATACTTTTTTAGTATATCAATTTGGATATATAGAATTGGCACGAGGAGATAAGGTTCATGCTTCGGACGTCAAAGGTAGTAGGTTCGAATCCTGTCAGGACTTGAGTTGTCGGCTTATTTTTGTCGGCTTAGTTACAGCACCACGAAATTTGATCATAATTGTTGCAAGAAACTTGATTTTGAAATTGCCTTTTTTGTTATATCGGAATATTTGCTTCTTAGTGAGTCGTTTGAATAAGAGAGAAATTTTTTATGCGTTTGGGTGGGGCAGAAAACCAAACTTTAAGTTTTAAAGCAAATTGACTTTTTTTTGCCCAATGGGTGTCTACCCAAGTTTTGTCGGCTTAGTTACCGTTTAGTACATTTTTTTTAAATAATGGCCAAAGGCAGGCGCGGATCTAGGATTTTTCCGAGGGGGGGGGCTGAATTTTGGAAAAACAGTAGCAAAAATTGAATTCAAAAATCAACAAAGATTAAACAATATTATACAGAAATGAGTCTGCAATTTTTGCGGCAAATTTGTCTATGATATAATGAACATTTGTTTCCACTTCTTTGTGGATATATATTAAAGCTAAACTAAATATTAAGGCGCCCTTTGAAAAAAAATTTTGAAAGAAAAAAACCTAAGTGGGGACCCTCTGGGTTGTGTCGGTGTCAAATTCATGAGGGAGAAAGGCATCCGCCCCCCCCCTAAATCCGCTACTGGCCAAAGGTAATTAATGCTGGAAATTAATTTTCTTGAGACTTTTATGAGTGTCAATAAACGCAGTCTTTACACAGGCAAAGCTTGTGTTATAGTATGAACTCTTTTTTTTTTCAATCTAAGTCGCAAATATTTCTGCGACTCAAATATTGTTGCGACAAAATGTGTTCATTTTGATCAATAGCCAGCTATTAAGTACAGCTAATGCTAAGGAGATTAAGACACTATTATATTACAAATAGCACTTTACCTTCAAGGTATCATAGATCTGTAGCGTAGAGGTAGGGAAAAGTGTTCCAACCGGGGCAGGGTCGGATGTTTTAATGAACTTTTTCGTATACTAGCTTAAAGGCGTTCGCTCTATAAATTAAGGCACGCTAGCTGGTAATTTAGTTTTCGAATTGACTGGTACTGCTAATGCGTCATAATTGGATTGCGTCACTTAGCAGTTATGTAGACTCATAATTGGCATGCGTCACTTAAGAAATTTTGTAGACTCAAAGTTTTACTCGTTCACTTTTTCACAGTAGGGTTATTGGTCGTATTTTTGCTTGTCTATAAGAAGTGCAACTTCGCCTCGTGCCAAAAGTTTCGGGTTCACATTTTCTTTTCCGTATGAAACGAAACATTTAAAAACAGCCACCTGCATGCTCAGAAAAATGACTGATTATTGATTCACGTTAAAGTTTAACAGCTTGAATAGCTTGCTTATAAAATTTTAAACTTTTCATGGACCCAATCGGTCTGTGGGATAACTTGAATTAAGGAAGTTTCGCAGCTTTAAATAGCTTGTTTATAAAATTTAAATTAGAGTTTTTTATGAATCTATCCAGTCAGTTTTTTTTTCAATTTTTCTAAGCTTGAATAGCTTGCTTAGAAAAAATTCAACTTTCCGCGAACCGATTTGGTCTATAAAATAACTATTTTGTATCTTAAACAGCTTCCTTCAGAAAACTTTACCGATTCACTTTAAAAAATGAGTTGAAAAAGCGCAAGTCTCATTGATAGCATAGCTTGGATACGAAAACTTGAATTTTTCGGAAACTGATTTGGTCTAATTTTGAATTACTTCACCACCCGATTTGCTCAATGAAATAACTGGAAATGTTTTACAGTTTCATAGCTTGAATAGCTTGCTTAAAAAAACTTAAACTATGAAATAATTTCGAATGATCTCATCGCTTGTATGGCATATAAAGAAAAACTTGAACTTTTTGCAATCTGATTCGCATTATGAAATAACTTGAAATATTTCAAAAATCTTTGCTTGAATAACTTGAAAGAAAGAATCTATTTTTTTGCGAAATGATTTGGTCTAAGAAACACTTGAAAATTTCCAAGTTCCTCGCTTGAATAGCTAGCTGAAAGAAACGTCATTATTTCGAAAATTCTTAGTTTCAATAGCTTGTTTAAGAAAAATTTAAAATTTTTTGCTAACTAATTTGCTCTAAGAGACAATTTGAAATTTTCCAAATATTGCTCGAATAAATTGCCTTGGAAAATTAACTTTCTGCAAATCAATTTGATCTAAGAAACGGCTTGGAATTTTTCGAGGTTATGGACGAAGAACGTTTTCGAAACGTTTTGGACGAACAAACAACTGGAAAGTTTTCAAATTTTCATAGCTTTATTAGAATACTTGAAGGTTTAGCTAATTGATTCGCTCTGTAACAATTTGAACTTTATGAAACTTTTACTGCTTGCATAGAGAAACTTCAACATTTCGCGAACGAATGGCTCTAAGAAATAACTTGAAGTTTTTCAAATTTTCATAGCTTTTTACATTTTTTAACATTTTAAAATTTCCTTGCTCGAAAAACTTTCATAAGAAAACTTCAATTTTTTGCAAAACGATTCAGTCTAAGGACCAATTTTTAAAAAATACACAGTTTCATGCCTTGAATAGCTTGCTTTGAAAAAGATAAAATTTTCTTGAACCAATTCGATCTTTGAAATAAGTTTTTCAAACTGATTCACGACCTGGTTAAAGATGAAATGGTCCAAAGTTTTAATGCTTGAACAGCTTGATCAGAACAACAAATTACATTTTGCGAGTCGGTGGAATATTGGAAACGAGCTTGTTAGTCCTTTTAATTTCCGAGATATGTCTTTTTTCTGATTTTTTAAAAAAGTTTTCAAAGCAATTACACGAATACTTGACAAAATTTGAAATTTTCAACCCTGAAATTGGCAGTTGTCAGGGTTCTCTCGGGGTTTCCAAATCTTGCGTCAAAATATGACTGCTCAAATCCTTTTAGTTTCTGAGATACGACGTTTTTACAATTATCTTAGATATAAAAAACTTATTAAAAGTTGAAGTTCTCAACTCTATGCTGTGAAGGGCTGTGAGGATACCCTCGGTCGTTGCTAATCTTGCATCCAAATGTGACTGCTCATTTTTCATGTTCCGAGATGTGACATTCTTATGATTCTTTCAGAAGTTTTCAGAAAAGTAATATTTAAAAAGTTCCATATCGCGCGTTAATTGTCCCAAAATGGCAATAGTTCGCGCTATTAACGCGTAAGCGGAGAGTTAATCCGTCTTAAAATCGTTCCAAATTGTTTGAAAGAAGCTTATTTGCCATAATTGATTTGTTACAAGGAGCGGAATCTATCCTTTCTTCTTTATATGGCGTGTGGGGGGATGATTTTCATAAAAAATTTCAAGTTTTAGAAAAAAAAACTTTCGTTTTATTTTAATACATTTAATACATTTTAATGTTATTACTGCTCCATAAAACCTTAAAAGAATGCGAGCAGTCTTGTTCTATTTGTTAATCAAGCTTTTGGTAGCTCTCTCTTACTTCGCTTCTTTAACTCCCCACCGGCGCACTCAAAATGCATTGGCAAGTAAAATACGTACAGTTCAGATTGTTTCCGAGCAGCAAGTTCAAAATGAGCTCTCTGATAATTGTTAGTGAAAGTGTTCTTATTACCGGGAAAATAATCTGGTATCACAAGTTTTCTGCCATTGATTAAGTTTTAATTAATTATCACTTTTTTTTTTGTTTTTAGAAGCTTGCTTTCAAATCGTTTAACAAAAAATTTTTTTGCTTACCTTTTATGACGTGAAATTTGTTAGCGCACAGTTTCTGACCTTTTTAAAGTTCGTTGACGCTTTTGCATCTGTATGTTAGCATAAGAAAACTATTGTCTGTTTGAATAACTATAAATAAGTGAAAGAAACACAACGCTGTTTTAAAAGTCGTTGAACGTCTGTTTAATTGCGTTCATTGACTCTTTTCCAACTGTCAGTTGGCGATATTATTGTTCCGACTTTCGATACGAAAGTAACGGAATTTTTGTGCTCGGGGTGGGTTTTTTTTCTTCAGACAAATTTTGACTTTTTAACTAGCCATTTTTGACGGATTTTTTTAATATCATTCAAAAGGTATTGTTGTCCTGATATTTCACCTGTGATCATTTTTCGTAAAGTTATGAGGGTTTAAAGATTACCATTTTGGCGAATTTGGGACAATTAACGTTCGATATATTTCGCGCTATTAACGCGTAAGCGGAGATTTAATCCGTCTTAGAAATCGTTCCAAATTGGTTGAAAGAAGCTTATTTGCCAGATTTGATTTGTTACAAGGAGCGAAATCTATTCTTTTGTAGTTTATATGGCGTGTGGGGGGGATGATTTTCATGGAAAAAATTCAAATTTTAGAGAAAATTTTTGTTCATTTTTTTTACGTTTAATTTGTTAACGATATTTATGTTATTACTGCTCCATAAACCTTAAAAGGCAGTCGGAACATTCAAGGCTTCGCCCTGATACGAGCAGTCTTGTTCCTTTTTGGGTTTGTTTGTCCTCAATGAGGTGTAATTACTGCTTTTCACGGCATAGTTTAAATTGAACATTTTAGAAACCCATTTAGTTGCCATTCAATTCTTTCAGCATTCAAAAGGGGTCTTGCTGTGTTTTTACTCTACTTATGGATTTTTGACGATATATCCCAAATTTTTTCTAAAGGAGACTGCGCAGAAAAAATGCAACTATTTAACAAAAAGCCCTTACACGGAATCTCTGGTACGCTTTCTCAAAAATTGCCTGCGTCGCAGCTCTTTGTCGCACTAGTCTTTTAGTATATCGGTAGATTTCGAATCTGTCCCCACTTGGCGAAAATGCTAGATCTATTCCTGAATGTAGTTAAATATTAATGAAGATTAATATAAGGGATTGTAAAGAATGGGTAACGTGTTCGTTCGTGTGTGTTGGATTAGGTGGAGAGTGTGTCCAACATGGCCGGGGGTATGATGGGGGGCAGTTCACAGCTCATGTCCATCGAGGATGCCAGGGAGGCCAGACTGGGCATGGGTGGGGACAAGGCAGACTACTACACCACCAAGGCCACTTTCGTCTTCTTCAAGAAGGACGGAAACAATGTACTATACCCAGGTAGAGTCCTTTCATCGCTTTGAGAATTAAACCAAGTAAATTTTAAAATTTGATGCCTTGTTACGGCTGCTTGCGTTGCTTACGCTTGCGAGTAGCAAGCGATATCAAACTGGAATGTAGACTTTATTTCTAGTTAACAACTAGTTCAACAAAATCAGTTGAATCAGAATACCTGTCAACAGATTGTTTTTGAGCATGTCTCCAGTTTAAGTGGCCGTTTTATTCGAATTTTTGTTGGTGGTTGTAAATCAACTCTTGTTTTGAGTTTTCTTTTTTTTCGGCTCAAATGGTTTCGGCTAATGCATATCTGTTTAGTTGCCTGGAAGTTCATTGTTTGAAGCGCCAATTTTTGAAATTGCTACTGCTTATATAAGGGCAGGTGGGGGTTGTGGGCGTAAAACTTGAATTTTTTTACTCAATATTTTACAGCTCAATTTTGTTTGTTTTTTCGGATCAACAGTCATCTGCCCAAGTTTTGTTTACTAAGTATCCTCTTAATTACCCTAAAGAAAACTCGATTTCAGAAATTTTCTAACATTCAACATGAAACTTATTAAATAGTTTCATGTTGAATGTTTGAATAAATCGCCTTTTGTGGAAGACCTTCTAAGTTTGTAGAAGGGTTTTAGAGACGGGCGTTGTATGTTATGAGATTCCACGTCTTCAAGGACTCTCCGAACAACACATTGCTCATTTCAGACTCCTAGGTGAAGTTCCTGGAATTTATTTTCAACATTCTATCCTGCAACATTCTAACTCCCTTAAGCTTCCATCCACGATTTGTACTGCTTCATTCGACTGCCACTACACAATAAGTTACCTCGCCAATTTAAGACCCCTTCTCCCTATCCGAAGAAGAAGAGCATGTCGAACGAGCAACCGACAAACGAAGGCACCCCAGGCATCGGTGCTCCCATATCAATGACAGCAAAGAACTACTATCCCAATATTCTCGAACTCGTCTGGGCTTCGAACGAAGATGCATCGAGGGTTGTTAATGGTCTCAACAAACAGTCTCTCGTTTGTCTTCTCCGCGAATCCATATCTCAACTCAAATTGGGTCTCAATACAGAGTACTCACTGAGTGATACCGTCCAGTCGCTGGCCTCAGATGCGAATCAGTTGAAAGCAGCTATACCGAACATCGAATCAACAATCTCTTCTCGGTTCAAAGATGCGTTTGAAAAAATTTCGACTAAAATTCAGAATACGAAGTCAGATTCTGGAGCGAGCATAAGTCGCCCAGTGGCGGCATCTACGCCAGCCTCCCGAAACAATGACAGGAAGCCATCCGACGATTCGCACCTCTTCCGAATTCGCATAGACGGTATCTCAGAAATTGAAGGAAAACCATCGCACGAAGTTATCAAAGAAGAAACAGCGGCTGTTGAGAAAATCTTCGGATATCTCACAGAACCACTGACGATTTGGAACATGAAACGACTCGGGTCATTCAAAAAAGATAGAAATCGACCACGAACTATTATAGTAACACTGCCACATGTTTGGGACGTTCGTAAAGTACTTTCGAAAGCCCCTCTTCTGAAGAATTACGTCAGCAAAGTCTACCTATCGAAAAGCCTCAGTCACCCAGAAATAGTCATGGAAAACGCGATTCTGAAAAAACGACGAGAGCTCATTGAGTCCGGAATTCCCAAAGAAGCACTCAAAATACGATCACTGAAACTGCTCAAAGACGGTGAAGTTGTGAACATCGAATCACTTACCGACCAAAGTACTGCATGACTGCACACAGACGTATCATGCATCTCTGTAACTATTTTCAATGTGCGAAGTATACTTGCGTATGAAAGACGTCTCGCTCTATCTCGTGCGATACTTTCAGCTAACCCCGATTTTATCGCTTTGACCGAAACTTGGCTCACTGAAAATATTGCGGACGCAGAGATCAATTTACCGAATTATTCCCTAATCAGAAAAGAACGAACCACAAACCGCGAACTCTCTAAACATGGTGGCGTACTTCTAGGTATCAAGAATATCAGATGCAAAACTCTCAACCTCAGTCAATTCTGCGACAACACGGACGACTTTGCTGCCTGCAAGATTGACTCCCCCGGCTATTCCTACATTATGGGAGTGCTCTACAATCCACCAACTACAAGCAACTACAGATGGCCATTGAACAAATGGAGCAATATTCTCGCAGCTCTCGATCGCTTCATGAAGGACGAACACTCGCAATGTGTCATTCTGATGGGAGATATCAACCTTCCGGGAGTGAACTGGAGTTCTTTCCACTCGAACAACGACTAAGAAAGTGACGTGCTCCGATTACTGGACATGTACAACTTAACAAAATTAGTTAACGTCAACACAACTTCATCAAATACATTGGATGTCGTCCTTGCCAGCAACGACTCACTGATACTATCGGTGTGTGTCGATGAAACAATAATGAATCTTTGCAGTGTCAATGATTGAATGTTATCGGACCACAAACCAATGTGCATCAAACTACAATTCGGAAGTCTCACGACTCTGGCTCCTATCAAGAAACGAAGCTATTCCCTAGCCGACTATGAAAAACTTAATGCATTGATACTTGAATATCCTTTTACTGGCGCCTGTTGGTCTAACCCCAATGTATTACTTAAGAACTGGTATCAATGGCTCTCCCCCCTCTTGGATATGGCAGTGCCCTACAAGACAAGGCACCGCTGCAACCTTCCTCCTTGGGTCTCGCCTCAAACGTCGCACTCGATGAAAAAACTGGAGACTCTCCGCCGCAAATATTTTTCGAAACCAAATGACAATATTCAGTTGAAGATAACTATCCTCGAAAAATCAATTGAGTCTTCGACTGAGATTGATCAAGCAAACTATGAAACAAGTCTAGCCAATCGTCGTAACACATCGCATCTGTTCAAGTATTTCAAGTCATTGCGCAAAAGCAATCCAATTCCCTCTTCGGTCAACTGGGGCAGTGTTACAGCAAAGACAGAATTTGAACAATGCCATTTATTCAACGAATATTTTATATCCGTTTTCAGCACCGACACTGGTCAGTTTATTGAAGATCGTACCCATGAGATAAAGATTCAAGATATCGATGCATCTGAGAGAAAATTCATACAAATTCTCAAGCAACTTGATATAACAAAATCACGCGGCGATGATGAATTGCCTCCAGTACTCTTCAGAAACAGTAACATTTAGCATTCTCTTGCACAACTGTTTTACAAAATAAAGCAAACTGGCATTTTCCCTGATACTTGGAAAGAAGGGAGAATTAGTCCTCTTTTCAAGAAAGGAGACAGATGTGTCGTGTCAAATTACCGGCCTATTTCGTTACTCGATATCCCATCATCAAAAATATTCAAAAAATGTGTTTTTGACGAACTCTATGAGTTTGTCCGTCCACTCATCCCCGCATGTCAGTTCGGTTTTCAGAAAAGAAAATTAATTATATTACAACTTATCTGCTATCTGGATGAAATATTCAACGCTGTCGACGATCCAGATAAGACTGTTTCAGCTGTGTACCTCGATTTCGCGAAAGCCTTTGATAAGGTTTCGCACTCAGAATTACTGAGTAAATTACACCGTATTGGCATAGGTGGGAACCTATTCAGAGTCATCAAGAGCTATTTAACAAATCGCAAGCAAAATGTCCAATTAGGATCTGTTAAATCCTCACTACTGGAGATAACTAGTGGTGTCCCGCAAGGTTCTCTACTAGGACCTCTTTTATTTTTTATCTATGTTAAGGATTTACCTGATGGAATCTCAACTCTGCCGTATATGTTTGCCGACGATAGCAAACTCCTTGATATTTTGAAGAGAAACGCCTACTCGCCGGCTCAGGAAGATCTACAAATTTTGGAACGTTGGTGTACCGCAAACTCAATGGAGTTTAATGCTTCGAAATGTCACATCATGACATTCGGCGCCAATTCGCAATCACCTGCACTGAAGCTGAATAACATCTATTTGGAACAAAGTCGTAGCGAGAAAGACTTAGGGATAACAGTTTCCGACACGCTAAAATGGACTTCCCATGTTCAGAAAGTCTGTGACAAAGCAAACAAAGTGTTTCACATGGTCAAACGAAAAGTGTCTCGTCTACTACCATATCAACAAAAACTTCATCTATACAAATCAATGGTTTTACCGATCTTGTGTTACGGTAGTCCAGCTTGGTGTCCGTCTAAAACCGACATGAGAACCATTGAGTCGGTTCAACGAAGAGCTACAAACTGGATATTAGATTTCAACGATCTGTCATACAAAGAAAGACTCACGGCATCATTGAACTTACTTCCCATTTCCTTATATCTTCAAGTTATCGATTTACTATTTTTCTCTCAGCTCATCAATGGCGATTATATGATAAACTTAGATCATTACCTCTCATCAACACCAGCATCACTGTATGCCACCAGGTCGTCTACTACCTTGCGCTATAGTTCAAGAAAAGTGCGGTTGGACATCAGCAGAACTAATTTCTGGCATAGAGTACCAAGACTATGCAACTTACTGCCTGATTACGTGAACTTTCATCAATACATTGGACTAAAGTCTCGCCTATTGAAGTTCTTCTGGTCCTACGTCAATAACAATTTCGATATTCAGAACACTTGCTCCTGGTGTTTTGCCTGTAACTGTAATTCGTGTCGCAATGTTATTCCTCGTTGATTTATGTTTGGGGCTCACACCCCTTTAATCTCATTGTAGATTATAAAGTTTTATAATAATAATAATAATAATAACGTAATATATCTCGCAATTTTTTGAAATGCATAGTTTATACATAATGTGGCTTTATGCTTTGCGATTCGTTCCATTCAAAGTTAGTGTGGATGCTTTCAGTTTGTTATATTCCAAATAATTACCTGCAAAATAGAGTATTTGTATTTGGTGCCACTTTTTATGAACCACATTGACAATTTATTAGCTTATGTAGCTGCTTTATTCGTGACTGTTTGTCGGTTGTTAAGCTTGCATGGCTGAGTGTATAGTGCGTCAGACTCAAAATCTCTTGATTGCAGTAGGTCGCAGATCGAAACGTAGACCTAGTCGAGCTTTTGCTATTTCGTGGCTTATTTCTTCTTATTGCACTTTCTCTTTCTAGAGCTGCTTTTTTGTCGTGTTCTCACAAGTGTTTGCGAAGCGCAGCTTTGCCTGTGTCAAAAAAGTGTCAATCATAAATTGTTCTAGAAATTCAAAGAGCCTTAAAGGCATCCGTTTTTTTGAAATTCGAAAGGAGATTTTTTCAAAAACAAGTCAGTGTTTTCTTTTGTTTACTTTCGTTCATTGACTCATTTCCATTTGTCTGTTGGTTGTTTTTTAAACCGCGTTGTTTTACCTTGTTACCGTTTCCTTTTCTTTCAATTCTCTAGGCTGCAAGACGTGCAGGAAGAAGTTGGTGGATGAGGGCAATGGGTTCTACAGGTGTGAGAAGTGTGTCTCCTCTTCCCAGGAGTTCAACTGGCACTCGGTCGTGTCCGCCAACATCGCCGACCACTCCGACAACCTGTGGGTCACTCTTTTCAACGAGTCTGCGGAACTGGTCAGTCACTACAACTTATACTATTGTACTTCTAAATAAACTTCTACTTCTGTCGCCTTTTTCTATTTCGAGCTCTCTCAAAACTTCAGAAATTTCGAACTCTCTCAAAACTTCCGAAAGCTTTGACTTAATTCCGCGCTTGTTTGACGGGTCAAGCTCTCTCATGTTGCAAAATAATGAAGTCTATGTCAAGGGTGTCTTAGTAGAATAGTACGTTCCGTTGGTCTTTGCTGTCGGATTGCCAAGTAAGTAATAAATTAATTAGCGCTTAATAAGCCATAAGACTGTTCTTCTCTTCTTGGAAAGTGTTTTGGATTGTGGCTTAAGGTGTTGGCAACTGACATCAACGAGTTGGGGAGACTGAAGCAGCTAGAGAACGAAGGGACAGACGAGAGTGCCTCAACACAGTACAACAAAGTGTTCTCAGAGGCCAACTTCAAGTCTTACCTCTTCAAGATCAGAGTCAAAATGGAGAGCTACAATGACGAGACAAGACTCAAGAGCTCAGTAGTCCAGGTACACACATGCATACATACACACACACACAACCCTAAGCTGCAATAAAGCGCGTCTTTGTCATCCACCTTCAACGACCGAGATCATGACTAACTATTTTTCACGGTATTCGATTGCACCGAAAATTTAGCTTGAGAATACGCACTAATATACTTATCCAAGTATATTTGTTCTTTGTACGCAACCTATAAAATCTCGGCATAAACTTGAATTTATGTGTTGTAAAGGAGGACTTGAGGAGACTTGATAGTATGAACTCTCTTTTTTTCCAACCTAATTCGCAAATATTGTTGCGACAAAATGTGTTCATTTTGAAAGTGTTCATTTTGATCAATAACCAGCTATTAAATACAGCCAATGCTAAGGATATTAGCACAGACTATTAAGAATAATGAACGTAGTGAGTCTCTTTTATAGGTCTTGCTGATTTTTTTTTTCAGGAAAAGTCTCTGATAACTACAGATGTGCATTCATAAATATTGATGCCTTTATGAATGCACATAGGTATATATGCACTTTTTGAGTCCATTTGAAGTTCATCTGCTGAAAGTGACGTAAGTAGCACTCTCCAAATACGAACATGAAAATGGTGTGAAAAGTGAACGATTTCTACTTTCGAAATTGGAATTTCATTTTCAGATTTCCAGCGGAATAAAAACATTACATGTTGATCTAGTTTTCTCAAGTTGGGTTAATGTTAGCAAAAAAGCGCCAGTCATAAATTGTTTTCGAAATTCAAAGAGCTTGCATCTATTTTTTTGAAATTCGAAAGTTGAGATGTCAGTGTTTGTTTTTGTTTACTTGCGTTCATTACTCTATTCCAATCTTCGATTGGCTATGTTTATATTACAAATAGCACGTAAATTTCAAGGTATCATTGATCTGCAGCGTAGAGGTAGGGAAGGAGACCTGCATCAAAATGAGAGGGTTCGAACCTGGGCAGGGTCGGATGTTTTTTTTTGAACTTTTTCCTATACTATTTAAAATGCGTCCGCTCTTATTAAATTGAGGCATGTTAGTTGGTAAATTTCTTTTTTTTTCAAATTGACTGGTACTGCGAATGCGTCATAATTGGCTTGCCTCACTTAGCAACTATGTAGACTCGAAATTGGCGTGCGTCACTTAAGAAATTTTGTAAACTGGAAGCTTAACTCATTCAGTTTTTCCCTATAACGTTATCCGTCATATTTTTGCTTGTGTATGCGGAGTCCAACTTCGCATCTGTGTTGAAATATAGCCTGCTTAATTGTTCAACCTAAACTAAATACGAGTGGCACTATCATCTAAACCAGTTGAATGCTGACGAAAAAGAATCTCTAGGCACAATTTTACGCCTTACACTTTTGCAGCTGGCAACAAGTAACACCAACTCTTTCTAAGTTTCTACTTACACAAGCAAAACCTTGTGTTATTCTACGAGCAGGTTTTTTCCACGCAAAGTCGCATGTCTTATGTTGATTTTATGCTAGTCTATGCATATAATCGGGCGCTAATTGACAATCGATATGAGGATATCAATGCAGGCATTTTTTTTCTTAAAACTATCTGAAAGAGATTGGTGTAGTAGAGGTCGAATGAAAAAAATGTTAAACGTGGTAATTCAAAATAGATTGATGTACTAGAGGTTGAATGAGAAAGATGTTAAAACTGTGATTCACATTAGGTTCCAATAGTTTACGCAGTAAAATTGGGATTCGTATAACTCATGCGCGCTATGTTTGTTTTACGTGTAATTACGGTTAAATGCGTGATGTTACCCTGTAAAATATGAAGAACAAATCTATTCAGAATTGTCGATTTGTTCACCACGCCAAATTTCATTGCATTATGACAACGTTAAATAGACTTTTCAAAATTGAATTTGAAAGGGGGGAACTAGAAAAGAGCCGGCAAAAGTTTTATTTCTTAAGGCTTTTATTTTTTCTTCGTTAGTTTTTTTTTTGCCTTTTTGAGCCAATTTTAGCCGTTTTCTCCATTGTGTTTGCGAAATGATTTGCCTTTGTGTAACTTCAAATACAATGACTGGTTCTGTCTATTTGATTTAGAGGTAACGCCCGTGCTGGGGACAACAATGGTCTGGGCTCGAGGACCTGAACTTGTTTAAACTGATTTTCTGCTTTCTAAAAATTCAACTCTTGGACTATCTTGCGTCTGATTAGTAACTAGTTCAATTAAATCACTGAATCTTTTGGTCTTCAAACTTTTTTAGTGTATCAAGTTGGATATATAGAATTGGCACGAGGAGATAAAGTTCATGCTTCGGATGACATAGGTAGTAGGTTCGAATCCTGTCAGGACGTGAGTTGTCGGCTTAGTTACAGCACCACGAAATTTGCTCATAATTGTTGCAAGAAACTTTGCTGAATTTTTTTTGATACTTGGTTTTGAAATTGCATTTTTATGTTATATCGGAATATTTGCTTCTTAGTGAGTCGTTTGAGTAAGAGAGAAATTTTTTATGCGTTTGGATGGGGCAGAAAACCAAACTTTGAGTTTTAAACCAAATTGACTTTTTTTGGCCCAATGGGTTTCTACCCAAATTTTATCGGCTTAGTTACCGCTTAGGACCTCTATGACATAATGAACGTTTGTTTCCACTTCTTTGTGGATATATATATATATTAAAGCTAAACTAAATATTTAGGCGCCCTTTGAAAGAACTTTTGGAAGAAAAAACCTCTGAGTTGCGTCGGTGTCAAATTCATGCGGGTGAAAGGCATCCGCCTCCTCCCCCCCCCCCCCTAAATCCGCTAATGTCCAAAGGTAATTATTGCTGGAAATTAATTTTCTTGAGATTTTTACGAGTGTCAATAAATGCAGTCTTTACACAGGCAAAGCTTGTGTTATAGTATGAACTCTTTTTTTCCAATCTAAGTCGCAAATATTTCTAAGATGCAAATATTGTTGCGACAAAATGTGTTCATTTTGATCAATAGCCAGCTATTAAGTACAGCTAATGCTAAGGAGATTAACACACTATTATATTAAAAATAGCACTTAAGCTTCAAGGTTTCATGGATCTGTAGCGTAGAGGTTGGGAAGGATACCCGCATCAAATTAAAAGGGTTTGGACCTGGGCAGGGTCGGATGTTTTTAATGATTTTTTCCTATACTAGTTAAAATGCGTCCGCTCTTTAAATCGAGACATGTTAGTTGGTAATTTTTTTTCAAATTGACTGGTACTGCGAATGCGTCATAGTTGGCTCGCATCACCTAAAAATTATGTAGACCCATAATTGGCGTGCGTCACTTAAGAAATTTTGTAGACTCAAAGTTTTACTCATTCGGTTTTTCCCGGTAGCGTAATCGGTCATATTTTTGCTCGTGTATGCGAAGTGCAACTTCGCCTCTGTGTCTATGATGACGCTAATAAACGCCTGTGTTATGTATAAAGTCGTTTTTTCGATCTGATTTAAGACTTTTGTGATCATATAGGTGATCAGTTTTAGTGTACGTTCATCGACTCTTAATAAATGGAGGCAACATACAGTACACTAAAACTGATCACATATATGATCACACGACTCTTAATAAATTGGGGCAATATACAGTACACTAAACTGATCACATATATGATCACACAAGTCTAACATCAGTTCGAAAAAAACTATTTTATTCATAACACTGGCGTTTATAAGCTTAATCATAGACACAGAGACGAATTTCTAGAACAATTTATGATTGACACTTTTTTTTGATAAATTAACCCAATTTAATAAAACTGGACCAACAAGTAAATGTTTATTTCGCTGAGTAATCGGATAAATAAATTCCGTTTTCGAAATTAGAAGTAGATTCACGTTTTTCGAGATCTTTTACACTTTTGCTGTTTGATAGTGGATTTTCCCTTCTTTTGAACAAACGAAATAAACTACACTTAAACAAAAATCAAACCGCGAAATATTAAATTTGAGCCGGAACAAAATTTTTGTCTCATCTTGAAAAAAGCTTCATGACCGTTATAAGACTCTACGTTCAGCGACTGTTAATAAATTGGGGCAATATAAAGTGGAGTCTTATATATGTCGTGATGTTTTTTCATCATATTTTGATCATACTGAAATTAGATTTCTCGAGTTTTTACGCTTCACTAGCGTTTAAGTCTCAGAAGAAATCATTTCCTGTGTTTAAAGGAAGACAAACTCCATTATTGAAAGTTTTGAAGGTGACGGAGAGCGCGATCGGATTCTAATTTCGAATAAAGGTTTATTTTTCAGCTGAACAAAAACTTGACCTATTGATCTTGTTTTCTCAAAATGAGTTTTTTAGTGTTTTGAAATGCATAACTTATACATATTTTGCCTTTATGCTTTCCATTTTAATACATGCTAAATTGTGTCTTTTATATTTGGTGCTACGTTTGCTGCATCGAATTGGCAATTTGTTAGCATACGTAGCTGCGTTGTAGGTGGCTTGTTTTTGGGGACTATTAGCATCCGTGGCTGAGTGGTTAGTGTGGGAGATCCAGATTTGGTATGTCGCAGTTTCGAATCCGACACGTAGCCGAGTTTTTGCTAATTGGAGGCTTATTTATACTTTTTCTTATTCTACGCGATAGAGCTGCTTTTTGGTCGTGTTCTCGCAAGTGTTAGCGAAGCTCAGCTTCGCCTCTGTTTATTTTTGTTTTGCTAAATAGAGAGTTGATCATTTGGGCTCAATAAGCCAAAATATCCTAAATGACATAATTTTTTTGGTAAGTAACGCTATTGAAATAATTATTTTTGACCTGTATTATGATATTATCATTTGCACGGAGGGATCTAGGCTTTTCTCGAAAGGGTTGGCGAATTTTCAATGAAAAAATTCTGAAATTTTAAGTTGATCAAAATGATTTTCTGGGCTCTCTTAAAACACCAAAAGAGACCCAGAAAAAAAATTTTGGCACTTTTTGGAAGGTTTTGATCGAAAAGTGCGTAAGGCGCCTTTAAAAAATTTCTGGGAAATCTCAACAAAACACTGCAAAAGTATCGGGTAATCGTCTTTTTAATAGTGAAGCTAAATGAAGAACTATATAAATGATCTTAACGAAAAAAAGACAATCTGACCTACCCTTAAGGATATTGAAGTGTAATAAAATTACGAATGTCTGACATTGTGTTTAATTAATGTGCCAGTAACATTCTTGTGGAAAAACTAAGCGTATACGTTTTCCGATTTGAAAAAAGTATCCAAAGTATCTGCATGGTTGCCACGGTATCAGTGCCAGCAAATTAATATCAGGGCCAAAGAAATTCGCTGCTTTTGTTTAATAAATCAATGTATTTCGTGACAAACTGGCAGAAAAAAGTGAAATAGTTTCAGAAATTGAAGCGATAAAACTTCAAAAGCTTAAATTTTTTAATCAGTCGATGCGAGAAATTAATTTTTGAAACATTGTTCTGAGCGTATTATTAATTCAGTGCCCGGCATTCATTATTGTCAAAGCTAGCATTTTTCGGATACAGTGGCCACCCTGGCCTGGAAGCTATATCTAGCATAGTAAATTGTCTTTTTTTTTAACCATTGGAATAGAAAGTTAGTGCATAGAAGGATATCTTTTGAATTTAGTGATGCCTTGGAGTATCTTCTCCTACTTTGTCCAACTTAGACTTAGACTAAAGCGTCAAGTTTTTGTTTTATAATTTAAAGAAGCGTTCGGAAGAGATTGAAACGACCTAATTTGCAAAAAAAAAGTGCGAAGTTAAACAGAAGTTGGCTTTCTTGACGATTTTTTGCTTGCAGATTGTTTTTGTTTCTCTGAATAGCTTCTGAAGCTTAAAGATCAGTTTAAAGATTTCATTGATAGTATATTGGACTATTCTAAAAACAATAAAACTGTAAGACGCGAAGATGTGAGTCTCACCTGTTAACTCTGTCCCCTTTCCTGTTTAGGTGTCGCATGTGAATCCAGTGGACCACGCCCATAATCTGCTCAAGGAAATCGAAAAACTCTCGCTGAGAAAATAACTGTCCCAATGTAAACTTTGAACTTTGCTTGACGGCTTCGTCTCCTTTTTCCCACACGAGATGCAATAAATGCGAAAGAATGCTCGGCGAAATTATTTATTAGTTTGCGTTCTGGCATTAATTGAGCTTCATTTTGCGAATTCATTTACTGGAGGAATGCAATAAGTGAAATTTTGACTTGAGAGGAGAAAAGGCGAACGAGCTCCAAATTGATTCTGACTTTTTGATGTTACTTGTTTGAAATTGAAATTAACTTAATGTGAGATGGTCGCTTTTGTAACAGTGTCATTTATTTATTCAGCTGATAGTGCTAAGTCTTAATGTTACCTGGCTAATATAGTGAGATTTACAGTTGATTTATTTGTGCAATTCAATTCATCTTGCGAGTCTTTGATGGAAACTAAGAAAAAACTACTCGAAGGTTGTTTTGTCGCAATCATGAGAGAATGTCCCTTGCCACGTAAACCCTAAACTCCCAACAAATCCTCCCCACTTACCCCGCAGACCTGTGTTTTGCACCGGTGGATGTCACGGAATTCCTCAACCTGCATACAGACAAGCTCAACCTCCCAACGTGTGCTAATAACTAAACGAACATGAGAGAGAGAGAGAGAGTCCCGAGAACATGATTTCGCCAAATACCTAAAATGTTATGTCAATATTGCTCCTTTGTTATTCAACGGTCAAAGAATTGGCTGCGAGTTCACCTGAAACAACATGAGAATATTTTTTTGGCTCTGAACTGATTTGCAATACTTTTTTTTGGTCATAACTTTTTGTGCGAATCTTGTTTAAATCCAGGGGGGGGGGCGGATCTAGGTTTTTCACGAGGGGAGGGCCGATTCTCGAAATATTTTCAAACACTTCGTCGATTTTTTTGTAGGTTAACTAAATTGATTTTCCGAGCTCTCCCAAAGCACTAAAAAGACCCTGTTTCGGGCAATTTTTTTTGGCGTTGGAGGAAAAATTTAGAAAAAAAAACATGCTGAAAACATGCGTTTTTAGTCACTTTTTGGAAAATGTTGACAAAAAATCGCCTTTTTTCGGAGCGCTTCCCCGTCGAAATAAGTATGTTTTGGCGCCAAAGACGCCCTCGGAAAATTTGGGGGTCAGTCAGTCTTAAATGAAAATTTCAGTAGTACAAGGGTCATCTACTTCTTGTGCGCATGAGAATCACTTTTACGTACAGCGATTAATATAGTTAAGCGCAAATCAAGTGTTGTCTAAAACCAAAGTTTTGGTAGGGTTTAAAATTAGGAAGGACTGCATAAATTATGGTGCGCCCCAAATGTTGCGATGGGTTAATAACTTCTAGAACAATTTATGATTGACACTTTTTTGATAAAATCAACCCTATTTAATAAAACTGGACCAACAAGTAATAGTTTATTTCGCTGAGTAATCGGATAAATAAATTCTGTTTTCGAAATTAGAAGAAGATTCACGTTTATCGAGAACCTTACCCGCGTGCTGTTTGATAGTGGAGTTTCCGAGCTCTCCTAAAGTACTGAAAAGACCCTGTTTCAAGCAATTTTTTTTGGCGTCGGAGGCAAAATAAAGAAAAAAAAACATGCTGAAAACATGCGTTTTTAGTCAATTTTTGGAAAATGTTGACTAAAAATTGCCATTTTCGGCGCGCTTCCCCCTCAAAATTAGTATGTTTTGGCGCCAAAGACGCCTTCGGAAAATTTGGGGGTCAGTCAGTCTTAAATGAAAATTTCAGTAGTACAAGGGTCACCTACTTTTTGTGCGCATGAGAATCACTTTTACGTACAGCGATTAGAATAGTTGAGCGCGAATCAAGTTTTGTCTAAAACCAAAGTTTTGGTAGGGTTTAAAATCAGGAAGGACTGCATAAATTATGGTGCGCCTCAAATGTTGCGATGGGTTAATAACTTCTAGAACAATTTATGATTGACACTTTTTTTGATAAAATCAACCCTATTTAATAAAACTGGACCAACAAGTACTTGTTTATTTCGCTGAGTAATCGGATAAATAAATTCCGTTTTCGAAATTAGAAGTAGATTCACGTTTATCGAGAACCTTACCCTCGTGCTGTTTGATAGTGGAGTTTCCGAGCTCTCCTAAAGTACTGAACAGACCCTGTTTCAAACAATTTTTTTTGGCGTCGGAGGCAAAATAAAGAAAAAAAACATGCTGAAAACATGCGTTTTTAGTCAATTTTTGGAAAATGTTGAATAAAAGTTGCCATTTTCGGCGCGCTTCCCCCTCAAAATTAGTATGTTTTGGCGCCAAAGACGCCTTCGGAAAGTTTGGGGGTCAGTCAGTCTTAAATGGAATTCTCAGTAGTTCAAGGGTCACCTACTTTTTGTGCGCATGAGAATCACTTTTACGTACAGCGATTAGAATAGTTAAGCGCGAATCAACTTTTGTCTAAAACCAAAGTTTCGGTAGGGTTTAAAATCATGAAGGACTGCATAAATTATGGTGCGCCTCAAATGTTGCGATGGGTTAATAACTTCTAGAACAATTTATGATTGACACTTTTTTGATAATATCAACCCTATTTAATAAAACTGGACCAACAAGTACTTGTTTATTTCGCTGAGTAATCGGATAAATAAATTCCGTTTTCGAAATTAGAAGTAGATTCACGTTTATCAAGAACCTTACCCTCGTGCTGTTTTAAAGTGGAGTTTCCGAGCTCTCCTAAAGTACTGAACAGACCCTGTTTCAAACAATTTTTTTTGGCGTCGGAGGCAAAATAAAGAAAAAAAACATGCTGAAAACATGCGTTTTTAGTCAATTTTTGGAAAATGTTGAATAAAAGTTGCCATTTTCGGCGCGCTTCCCCCTCAAAATTAGTATGTTTTGGCGCCAAAGACGCCTTCGGAAAGTTTGGGGGTCAGTCAGTCTTAAATGGAATTCTCAGTAGTTCAAGGGTCACCTACTTTTTGTGCGCATGAGAATCACTTTTACGTACAGCGATTAGAATAGTTAAGCGCGAATCAACTTTTGTCTAAAACCAAAGTTTCGGTAGGGTTTAAAATCATGAAGGACTGCATAAATTATGGTGCGCCTCAAATGTTGCGATGGGTTAATAACTTCTAGAACAATTTATGATTGACACTTTTTTGATAATATCAACCCTATTTAATAAAACTGGACCAACAAGTAATTGTTTATTTCGCTGAGTAATCGGATAAATAAATTCTGTTTTCGAAATTAGAAATAGATTCACGTTTATCGAGAACCCTACCCTCGTGCTGTTTGATAGTGGAGTTTCCGAGCTCTCCTAAAGTACTGAAAAGACCCTGTTTCAAACAATTTTTTTGGCGTCGGAGGCAAAATAAAGAAAAAAAAACATGCTGAAAACATGCGTTTTTAGTCAATTTTTGGAAAATGTTGACTAAAAATTGCCATTTTCGGCGCGCTTCCCCCTCAAAATAAGTATGTTTTGGCGCAGAAGACGCATTCGGAAAATTTGGGGGTCAGTCAGTCTTAAATGGAAATCTAAGTAGTACAAGGGTCACCTACTTCTTGTGCGCATGAGAATCACTTTTACGTACAGCGATTAGAATAGTTAAGCGCGAATCAACTTTTGTCTAAAACCAAAGTTTTGATAGGGTTTAAAATCAGGAAGGACTGCATAAATTATGGCGCGCCCTTAAATGTTGCGATAGCTTTTTAATTTCTATGTTGATATTTTGATTTTTTGATATTATGTTTTTGGTTTTGATTTTTTGATATTAACGGGGAGAAATTGTAAATTATTTTTTTAAAGATATTTAATTTTAACGCTATCTAAATAATAAAGTGATATAATTAGGGCCTAGAAGTGTATTGAAAAGACTAACATCTTGTCTCCAATCAACTTGAAAGGATTTTTAGTCAGAATAAGACACAGCTTACGCGTCATTATGATCACAGTTATCTTAAGAATTAAATTATTAGAAAATGTTCCAAAAAAATAGTTGACAGAAAATAGTTTTAAAAAAGCAAAAAAAATTTCGTTTATTGTTCCACAATTTTCATTTTACCGCTGTGCTCAAAGTTGTAGTACGAGATCAAATTTCATTATAATATGAAGCGCAAAATTTGGCATCTAAGGCTGGATTATTGTTGAAAGAACAGTAGAATCGTAGTGCGAGCCTAGCGCTTACAGTATTCCGGTCGCGTACACAAAACCAAAACTTTCAGAAGTAAGCTGGTGCGACGTCTAAGATTTTTGAGTACTTATTCCTGGAATTGGACCTCAATTATGAAGCAAGTAATGTATCGTAAAAGCAAAAACATGACTGAGTTGACCAATGTGAATCAAAATAACAACAATCTAAGTTTTGCAAAGTAATTTCTAATCTGTTCTCTTCTTCGATACATCCCAAGTTTGATAAGAATCTTCTAATGTACATATTCTGTTCCGAATGCCATATAGTCATCCAACGGTTCAGTTTTCAAATGAATATGTTTTTTTTTGCACAAAATTTCTGACCACGTTCCCTGTTAACCACGTAGCTTGATCAACTGGACATTTGTCAGGCGAAGAATAGACGATCAGCAGTTGCATAACCTCGCTAACTTAATTATATTCGCGACCGGTTCTTCGTAAATCAGGCGCCTTCGGATTATAAAATCTGTGATTCGAGATTCGGGCGACTTTGTGTTGGCGCGAAGTCGGAATAAATTCTTTGCATTACTTTTCGATTTGAAACTCGAATCCAATATCTGTAATTTGAGGTGAAAAGTGAATATGATGGACAGACTGAAATGAATAAACCAATGTGAACAAAACGGATAACAATACGATGTGAGCGATAAATGGAAAGTTAGCTCCAATACGTTGTTCCTATAGCTAAGAGTAAAAAGTGAGTATGATGGATAGACTGAAATGATTAAACCAACGAGAACTAAGTGGATAACAATACAGTGTGAGCTACGGATAGAAAGTTAGCTCCAATAAGTTATTCAAATAACTTTGAGTACAAGATACCACTTCGCAACTATCGCTTCTTCAAATAAACCTAGCTGCAGTCTTTATAAAAATTTTTTTTCAAATTGACTGGTTCTGCGAATGCGTCATAATTGGCTTGCCTCACTTAGCAACTATGTAGACTCGAAATTGGCGTGCGTCACTTAAGAAATTTTGTAAACTGGAAGCTTAACTCATTCAGTTTTTCCCTATAACGTTATCCGTCATATTTTTGCTTGTGTATGCGGAGTCCAACTTCGCATCTGTGTTGAAATATAGCCTGCTTAATTGTTCAACCTAAACTAAATACGAGTGGCACTATCATCTAAACCAGTTGAATGCTGACGAAAAAGAATCTCTAGGCACAATTTTACGCCCTACACTTTTGCAGCTCAGCTGGCAACAAGTAACACCAAATCTTCCTAAGTTTCTACTTACACAAGCAAAACCTTGTGTTATTCTACGAGCTGGTTGTGTCCAGGCAATT